TAATTTACCCCTATGTTATCTGCTATACTTCATTGCACCAAACAGGGAAGACTGTTTAATCTGCACCAAAAAATAAGAAAGGGAAATTATTTTGACAAGTGCCAAATGTCAAAAATCACATCAAATCAGTGTAATTATAGGCTTAATGTGGTATAACTAAGGCTTCCTACACTAGTCCACAAACTCAGTGTGAATTCCCCACTGTCTTAACTTTCCCATCTCTCAATCTTGCTGGAATAAAAAGGCACAGGGGTCCAACCTTAGAACAAAGAGAACAACGTAGTACTTTTGGAAAATAGAAACTGGTAGGAATTTGGGGACTGACTTACAGTTAACAAAATATAAATATATTATCAATATATTTATCAATATATTTATTTCAGGCTGGAGCAAGGAAGATGGAGTAAAAGTAATTCCAGGTCCTTGAGCTGGCAGAGGCTTAGATGGTTAGGACCCAGGCATCCTGAACTAACATCTACCCCAGGAAGTGGCTGTGGATGTGACCTCGGACCAAATCACAGGCATTGTAGCAATGGAGCTCTGGCCTATGAAGCAAAGACCTTCCTAGTGGGGCAGGACCCTGTGTGATGCAGCATGTGGAGAGCTCCAGCCCAGCACTTGCTCTGGCAGCCAGGACAGAGGGCCTGACTCCCCCACTGGGTTCCGGTTGACCAGCAGGGCTAGCGGTACCAGCACAGGTCCTACAGCTCCAACCTCCAGCTACAAAGTCTCAGCAGCTTTCCCAGTTCCTGACACCCTCTTAAAGATGCCATCCTCATGTCTACTCCAACACACACAAGGTGCCCTGTAAAAATAAAGCAATATGAGGAAATGCAAAAAGCTTTAAGCTTCAGGTTCGGGATCCTGCACAAAGGTTGAAATCCTGGAAACAGGAACATCTACCCAAACAAACACTGTCTCTAGAACCTTTAAGACATTATCCTGATACATGGGTTTACTGTGAGAGCCAGGACCTTACTCATCTGTGCTTTGGACATGATATGTCAGCCCACTCCCCCACTGCCTGAATCTGCTGTTGGAAATAAAACTCAACCAGAGATTTTTTTCCTCCAGGGAGATCCTGGACTTTCCTATTTCCATGGGTGCACTGCTACTGTCTTCCATAAACAAGGCATGTTATAATCTTTCTGAGGCATGGGAGATAAGGGGGAAAGGATTCTATGTACCTTACAGGTGATTCTTAGAGAAGTTAAGGGACTGCCCAAAAGTCACACAGCCTGTAATCGCTGAGTCAGGGTCTAAATCCAAGTCTAGTTCTACATACAACATAAGACAGAAGAATAGTTAATCAAATGGAAAAATACCTGAAGGGAAACAGGATGCTTCTCCCTTAACATGGAAGCATTAAAAGCTACTGAGCGGGCCAGGATTTAGCTCAGTGGTTCCACTGCCTGCCTTGCAAGCGCAGGGACCCAAGTTCAATCCCCAGTACCAAAAAAAAAAAAAAAAAAAA